AGTCAATAGGACACACCCCGTCCCGATCTTCCTTCAAGGCCTGTCAAGAAATAAAGGCCTTAATTTCAGACCGTCCTCTTCTGAGTCTGTGCTCCAAAGTCCCAGGGGTTGGGGGGTCACGTGGGAAGCGTGGGATGTCCGGGGCACTCTGGGCGGGGTCTCGGCAGGACTCGCTGGCGCGCAACATGAATGCTCCTGAGCCGCTCCACAATGGTAAGTGGGTGTCAAGTCCCCCTGACCCCACCTCTATGGCCTCATCTCGGGTTCCTGAACCATTTTATTAACAAGGGTTAGAGGAAATGTTAAAAACCCAGCTCAGGGCCGAGCCCCTGGCGCACTCGGGAGAGTGTGGCGCTGGGAGCGCAGAAGCGCTCCTGCCGTGGGTTCGGATCCTATATAGGGATGGCCACCGGTGCGCTCACTGGCTGAGCGCGGTGTGGCAGGTCTCAAAAAGGACACAAAAAAAAAAAACAACCCAGCTCAGATCCTCAGGTCCTGTGGGTCTCCTGTGGTCCAGAGAAACCCCAGCCTCCCCGCAGACTCCCACCAACCCCTCAGACCTGCCCGCCTACCTGCCTCACACGCTGGGCTGTAGCTGCAGAGGCCTTCCCATCTTCCTCAAACGCTTCAGGCTCTTGCCCTCTCAGGCCCTTTGCCCTTCTGTGTCCTCATCGGGAGTGCCCATCCCCTGGGCCTCCTAGGGCTTTTGCATCCACTGCAGGTCTGTTAAATAAATTGCTCAGGAAGTAGGCCTGGGGGACCCAATTCCAAAGGGCACCTCGCACCAGATTGCTGCCATTTACTGAGCATGTATCAATCAAGCACTTGACGATTGTCCTTTGTGTACCAGGTAGTGTTGCAGACCTGGGTTTTAAATAGTGTGGTCAGAGAAGGTCTCAGTGGGGAAATGAGCGAAGGAGCCATGTGGGGATCTGGGGGGAGGTACACCCGTAGGAAGACAGGCTCATGTAAAGCCTGTGCAGTGGGACTGTGCTCAGTTGTGCCTGAGGAGCATCTGGAGGAGGCCAGCATGGAGGAGCAGAGTGAGATGCAGAGGGATGGGACACTGTCAGAGAGTTGTGGGGGACCCAGTCAGGTTGTATGTTCCGAGAAGAGAACCTGGCACACAGCAAATACTCCTTAAATGCTGCTGTCACTTACGGAGGTTCGTTATTATTCCCAATTGCACAGGTGAGGGAAACAGGTGTGTAAATGACTTAGAACAGTGGCTTATAGCTATTAAGTGTTCAATAAGTGGTTCATTTAACTTATTATTATTATTATTCCCAGGCTACAGATAAGNCAGCCCCGGGCCCCGCCCCTGACGCCCCGCCCACCCGTAGGGAAGCTGGTGCGGGCCAAGCTGCAGGAGGTGGGGCTGCGGCTGCGCTCGGCGCCCGTCGGCGACACCCGGGCGGCGGGCGACCGGTGAGTGGGGAAGGAACTCCTGGGCGAGGGGGAGGGGCCCGCGTCCCCCAGCACCACCCCCAAATGCCTCTGCCCCCCGCCCTTCTCGGCGTCTTCGGGTCTCTGTCTCAGTGGCTTCTTCTCCGCAGGCTGAAGGAAGAACTGGAGAAATTCGGGGAGCAAGTCCCCACCCAAACCCAGAGCGCCCCACAGGCCGGGGCCAGCATAGGAGAGGTGGGGAACCCGGAGAACGAGGCGAAGCGGTCAGAGGAGACAAGAGAGACCGAGGTCTCCCCGAGAGAGGGGTCTGTGGGGGGCAGGCGTTCTCGGGGGCGGAGACACGGCAAAGAGAGCCCTGTGGCCGCCGTGCGGCGGCAGGTGCGGGCTGGCGTGGGCGGACTGGAGGGTGCCCGAGCCCCGTCCCCCGCAGCCCGACTGCCATCTTCCCGCAGGCCGGCCCCGAGCTCCCCGGAGGCCGCGACGAGGAGGACCTGGAGCCGCCGGTGGAGCTGGTCCTGACGGCCCCCTAGGAGCTGGTCCTGACGGCCTCCTAAGTCAATAGGACACACCCCGTCCCGATCTTCCTTCAAGGCCTGTCAAGAAATAAAGGCCTTGATTTCAGACCGTCTTCTTCTGAGTCTGTGCTCCAAAGTCCCAGGGGTTGGGGGGTCGCGTGGGAAGCGTGGGATGTCCGGGGCACTCTGGGCGGGGTCTCGGCAGGACTCGCTGGCGC